TGTTGGAAAGCAGCTGCAGTACAAGATGCACCCTCCAAAAATGTAAGTGTCAGTTTAGAGCATCAGATCTCAAGCTGAAAGTTCATCAGATCATAATATACTTTAATGGGCAATTCAATACATCCACAATAATAAACAGTTACATCTACTAAACTGCTGAATGTTTTTTGAAAATCAAAGATAAAATTGTAAGCATATGTAGCTTATGTTTATTTCATAGGTAGTAGGTTATGTTTAATTTCTGTTTAATTATTTATTGTTGTGAAGGTTAGGCTACATAACAGTGTCCTTGTGGAGCTAATTTGCTAGCACTTTGCATGTTAAATGACTGTTGGGAATTAGCTAGAGGGACAAAGAAAGAAGCAATGCCTCCCTACCCTTCAACAGCATTATGTTCATAACATGGACCAGTGAAGATATTATGGGCCTTAAAATGACACTTAAAATACTCTTAGCCTTTGACTTACTGGAAATTTGGGTAACTGAAAGGAAAGTGTTTGTTACATGTAATTTCCAGTCTAGCACAGCTGAACACATTCATGTTTTGTGACATCACTGTGGTTAGGTGAGCATTCAAACCATTTAAACCATCACACTCTATTTCCTTTCCTGCAAAAAGCAAAATTGTCTGTGTGACAACCCTAAAGCTGCTAAACTAAAAGAACAGAACTGAACAGAAAAGGGGTAATGACCAATTCTGTAATTAAATAATCTGGTAACACTTTACATTAAGGTTTCCTTTATAAAGTGTTTATAAAGGTGTTCATAAATGACTAATAACTCATTTACAAATGCATTATAAATCATTGATAAGCAGTTATAAATGCATGAATAAAAAGGGTGATTTTAATGCAATACCTGCCAAATAGTGAGCCATTTTAACTCACGTTATAAATGCTTAATAAATATATTTATTAATACTTATTTCACTCAAAACTAGATTCCTGATTTATTTCATGATGCAGCAAAAAATGACTTTTATAGTGAGACTGAAGTGTGTTGTATGTATGATTCTCTCATTTATATCTCATGACTCATGTCACTTTTTGTACAATGTTTCTTACCAGAATCTACTCTGTACATTACTCTGTACCTCATCTGTACATATGCTGCAAAAGTTCATGATTCCTATCCACAGCAATGATTAGAAACTGTTATATTTTGTTTATCAAGATGAAATTATCAAACTTTATTTTGGGGCGGAAAAAATCATAAAAGCACAACCATGGCTTGATGAATTATCAATAATGACAATTTTAATTCCAATATTAGTAATCTCTGAACCTTAATGTAAATAATTTATTAATGAGTTATAAATGTTAATAACCAGTCAAAGTGAACCCTAATGTAAAGTGGACACCTGTGAACCATTTATTAATGAGTTATAAACATTAATAACGTCTAAAAGTGAACCTTAATGTAAAGTGAACAGCTGTGAACCATTTATCAATGAGACCCAGTGCATTGCGATTGGCCGAACACCGCAAGCACTCGTCGGAAATGTAACGGCCCTTACCATAATCGCGAGAAAATTTACTTTCAAAATAAATGTAAAGACAGAGCCCGAAAGGGGAACAGAGTCGCGTGACAAACACAGTGATGAAGCTGGTATGTGTTTGTGATGTGACCCCCCCTCTCTCTCTCTCTCTCTCTCTCTCTCTCGCTCTCTCGCGCGCTCTCTCTCGTGCTCTCTCTCGCTCTCGCTCTCGTTCTCTCTCTCTCTCTCTTCTTCATTGACACTGCCGTATGAAAAAACATCCAAAATATTCTTCCTGAAGTAAATATTGCTGATTGTTTCAAAAGTGCCTTCTTTACTTTCTGGGACTCTTCCTTATTCGTTAAAGATTAATGTTTGATATCCTCCTTTGTTTCTCTGAGGTTTTAGTCCATGGATAAATTCATACAGGCCTTGGTCTGAAGAGAGGTCTTCTCTCTGTGACAGTTGTGTGGTCCTTTGGGTTGCTCTCAACGAGTTGTCTTCTGCTGTTTTTCTTGGTTGATTTAAACTCTTCTTGTGGGTAATATAAGTTGTAGGAAGATTTTTTGTTTTAAATTTGTCAGAACTGAATGTCTGTCTTATTTTAAAACAATATTAAAAGTAAAATAATCAGGAGCTCATCTTGTTGCTGCTGCTACTCAATGGAACT